CAAGCATCTGTGGCGGCAGCTCCGTGGAGTGGGGTGGACATCGAAGAGGCCGTTAGGCTCCGGACTCGTGAAGGAGTGGACGTATACGTCACCGACCGGGATCTCGCTTGTCGGTACGCAACGCATGAACGAAGCACAACACAGGTATCTAAATGAATTGTTGTTTGTAGGCGAGGATGCAGTGGTGACGTTTGCGATCGAGTCGGGGATTATTGGAGAAGAGAGTAGTGAAGAGTGGGGGAGAGGCGAGTGTCGATGAGGGCTTGCCAGCGAACGAGTCGGTGACGGCGTCGCAGATCGACACATCCATTGCGCTATCAGCCAGCACAATACAAGCGATGTTCGGATCGGAAAGCGGTTCCCAGTCGGATCGTCTGGACCAGGCAGATCACGAGCTGGTCGTCGGTGCCTTTCAGCGCCTCTTGTCGGGCGCCGAGTCTAACAACTCCGATAATGGTAACGCGAGCGACGGTGCCAGAGTGGATGATTATAAGAGTGTGGAGGATGCTCCGGATGACCGCGTTGCCGTAGCGGAGGACGACGTTAACATCATGGCGGATGGAGAAGTGTCGGACGCCTATGAGGCAATCGATTCGAGCGGTAGTGACAACAGCGAGCGGTAGTGACAACAGCGATAATAGTGGAGATGAGGTCATTGAGCGGCGCGAATATCCCGACGACTCACTGGAACCTGACGAAGATGTCGCCCTAATGGACGATGCCTTTGTGGAGGCGATGGGTGGAAAGGTTACCCTTGAAGATATCGACAAGAACGCGCTTCGGCAATTCTCATGGATTGCACCCTCGTCCGAGTTTGAACGTGATTGTGAAGCATATGCGCATCTGTCTACTGATGTTGCTACCCCTACGCCAGAGATCCAAGCCATCGCAGACTCGCTGATGCTGCTATTTTCCTTTTATCTGCCAAAGTCGCTGTGGGTTAGCATTACGAAGGAGACCAACCGCTACAACCAGCAAACTGCACACGCCAGAGCAAAACGAATTCGAGCAAAACAACGGAAGCGTCATGCTGCGACGCCAGAGACTATCAAGCAGATTGAAAGGCGTCTTCGTGGCAAACCTGCGTACCAAACGCATGAAATCTTACATGTGATGGGGCTTTTAGTGGCAAGAATGCTGAACCCGATGACGCGGCGTTTCTCACGACATTGGGCGGTATTCGATGGTGGCGCACTATCAGCCGGTAACTTTGGCAAGTTCATGGCTTGCAACCGGTGCACTTCGATCCTTCGCGACTTTCATGTCGTGAACAATGAGGCCCCGCGCGTTCGCGATAAGTTTGTGGAAGTTGAGGCCGGTGTGGACGTGTTGCAGTCTCGTTTTCACTCGGGTTGGACACTTGGTAGCACGTTCTCTTTTGATGAAGGTGTTCTACCGTCGACATCGAAGCGAAACACAACACGGATTTTCATGCCCAACAAGCCCCACCGCTACGGAACAAAATTATTCATGGTGTGCGATTCCAAGAGTGCGTACTGTCATCGGTGAGTTTTTTTATGAAAAAATAATAAGTCGAAAATTTCGAAATTAATCTCTTATTTGATTTGTTCCATGTCGTAAATTTGCGACTACAGCTTTGAGGTGTACGTCGGGAAGCGAGATACCGAAGATAGGGACCAACAAGAGGTCGACAACAAGACGAGGGCAGCAGCAGTGATACGAAACATGAAGGCTGTTCTGAGTGAAGCCTCTCCGGGATTTCGATTAGCTGTAATCGACCGGTTCTATTCCTCGATACCGCTGGCCATACAGCTTTTATCGATGTCGGTCTACGTGCTAGGGACGATCATGATTAACCGGCTAGGATTTGATAAGCAAGTCATTGAGAAACGCAAAGCAAGACCGCGTGCGATAGAACGGGGATCCTTCGCGTTCTCGCGGTCAGATGCTATTCCGACCATGATTGCCTGTCATTGGTGGGACAGGAAACCTGTACACTACCTAGCAACGGGTCCGACCATGGTAGAAGACTCAATCTATAGAAACATCAAGATGGTAGGACCGTCAACATTTAAGGCCCGAAGCTCGTTACCGACTATCAACGCTGGGATGGGCGGAGTTGATGTCCATGATCAACTCCGCCTCCAGTCGTATTCGATTCAGACAGCGTTCCGATTCCAGAAAGACTACAAATCACTGTTCATGGGGTTTGCTAGACATGGCACTGGGTGAATGCATACCTCACACAGACGGAAACGTGTCGGCTCCAAGCGACTCGTAACCTAAAGACCGTGGAGACTGGTATATCCTCCTGCACAAACAACTACTGCAGCTCACGGCAGACGACTTTGTCGACGCCTCTGCTCCCTACTCCTTCTCCTTATGGCGCGCTCCACGAAGCGCCGCCGACTAGATGGTCACGCGCATGTGCAGTTTGACGACTGGGTCATCGTATCAGGCGTCCAGAAACGCCGTCAACGTTCCTGTAAAGTTTGCGCTCTTCTCCGCGGCGAGCGAAAGAAGTCATTTCAGACCACTTACTACTGTGAAGACTGTTCACAGCCTGGTGCCAAGTGCTTCCTATGCCCCAAATCGCGGCATAATTACGGGGTGTACGAAAGACATGCTACCAAATCTTGCATGCAGACTTCGAGAGTGGTGTCTCCATCCCAGCACCCCTCGGGAAACGCGTCGTCTTGCGGCGCTCAGGCAAGGTGGGTGCACATAAGTCCACGCGACGAGAGCTGATTTGTCAAGATGGCAACTCTGATAATGAGGCGGAAGAGCTTGTCGACCAGGATGTTCTACAGTCAGCAATCGTATAGATGGATTGGGTAGCACTGCATTTACTTGATCTTCGTACAGTTTTTGATGCGCCCGGATCTTTATGGATTAGAAAGGAGGGATCTGTTGCAAACAAAACAAATGTGCGTTGCAGTCTGAAAGTCGTAAGTTTTGGCTTTCCGAATTGTGATTTGTTCACAATGTCGTAACACTTACGACTTAGATTTCAAAAACCTCTGGGAGTTAATAGCGGGAATCGAGGAGACACGACCCCCCCCCCCCCCGCCGTCATGGAGGGACGTACGAGGACGAGTTTCGTGCTGTTCAGCGACGAGAGGGTAGCCTGGACGTCTTCGTCAAGACAGACGACTTTTCCCTCACGATGTACCATTGGCACGACTGGATCATCATGGAAAATCGGGAGCTGAGCATGTGCGAGAAAAGCAAGACCAGGAAGGACACGAACCTCAAGCCCGTCAGCGTGAAGTCGCTGAAAAAACACATGGCCGGAGTTGAAAAGCTTGTGGAAGACCGCATCAAGTCGCAGCTGTGCGGAAAGCAAATTGGCTTCGGTATCGATGCATGGACGGTAGACGGCACGCATTTTATTGCTGTCATCGCTTGGACGCCCGAGGACAAGTTTCTGCTGTGCTTCTCGACGCTGGCGGATGCGTCGGATATGAGTTCAAACTCGATCATTGATCTTCTCGACGATGTACTGGACACTTCTGCTATCGACGCGTCTCAACTCTGCTTCTTCGTCTGCGACCATGCGTCGGTCAATGTAGCTGTGGCGAGAAAGGCTCGAGTCCCGATGATCGGCTGCGCCTCTCACCGGTTCAATCTGGCTATGCAAGCAACCCTACGGGAACATTCGGAGGTCTTGGATAAGTTGCACTTGCTGATGACGAAGCTGAACACTATTAAGAACCGACACCAGCTTCGTGAGCTAGGTGTGCTGATGCCAGTCTTCCGCAATGCAACACGATGGAGCAGTACCTTTTCATTGATTGAAGGTACTTCAAGATCAACGGAGTTCTAGGGCATGTTGACGATGACACGCTTGCAGACGTGATCCCCACTGCGCGTGACAATGTCACGTTGAAGGCCTTGCATGAGGACCTCAAAAGCTGGAAGCTGTGAACAAGAAGCTGCAGACAGAGTCTTTGTCGCTACACGACGTGCGACTGCTGTTTGATCATGTGATTAAGCATTTCCCTGGTACGGCTGCATGGTTGTCCCCCACGGCAAGTCTCGTCAAGTTCCCTGGCTTTGAGAATGGCGTGGTCAAGCTTCTATCCGGAAAGCAGTCAAAACTTTCACGCACTGAACGGGCTGCTGTTGCCAAGCTCCTTCTTCCTACTGACTCCGATCCAGGCCTCCAGACAGAGAAGAGGCCCTTTGCTGAGGCCGCTCTCAGCAATGACAAGCCTGCTCCGAGCCGTGGTGACCTGAAGTGGATTCCCCCGACGTCGAACGATGTCGAGAGACTCTTTTCGCGAGCTGGCATCGTCTTCTCGCGCCTTCGCCGGGGCATGAACCCTGCAACGCTGGAAAGTGTGCTGTTTCTTCAACAGAACAGGACCTTGTGGGATGCTAGTGTCGTAGCTGAAGCTATCGAAAGAAGCAAGAAGAAACAGCGAGTTTAGTTAGCAAACAATAGATTCAAAGTCACTAATGAATTTGTACTTGAATCGGTAATGCGCGGCGGTTGCGCGTGGCGGCTTCCTCTAGTTCCTCCGTTTTGACACTTGTGCCGACAGGACGCTAGTCTGTTCACGTCAGTGGAAAATATAAAAATAACTCAATTATTTATTGGCGCTGATACTAGGCCCCACTCAATATGTTACGGCAATATGCCGGACCCTGGTACTGTACCTTCAAACAAAGAGGAGGAAGCCGATCGGAGTTGGCCATATTCAGATGTTCCGATAATAACGTTGCAATAATATTATCACAGCCCTTAGAAAAAAGATATTGTTCTTCTGAAATCAACAGCGAAAATAAATAATTGCAGCCAAAATAAGCCTTCCATATACAGTAAAAAGATTTTTAAGTTAAAAAACGTGGAAAAAAACGGAAAACAATATTGGAAAGACCGTGGGAAAATAATTTATTGAAAGTGATATCTGGTATCTCAAAAATAAATAATAATTTATTGTAAAATGTTGTTTTGAAATTTCAAAACAATGATTCATTCGGAACACCTCATATTGCTTTAGACATCAACAAAATGTGCGCGATAAATTGATGTTTTAAAGTGTTCTAGCCCCCTCTTCTTCTTCTTCGCTATCCCTGCCTTCGAGTTGCCGAACGAGTTCGTGTGCTGTCGGACGACTGGAAGGGTCAAGAGATAGACAGGCGGTTCCTATTCTTCGAATTCTAGGTGGACATTCGTCGGAGAAACTTGGTCGCATCGTGCCCGACATGACTTCCTTTAGTATCTGGACCGGCTTCAGTTTGGTTCCATCTTCCGTCACGGCATCGTGGTAGGGAACCTGTCCAGTGTCAAGCTCGGACAACACGACACCGAACGAGTACATGTCCGCCTTCTCCGTGTAATGGTTACCTTCCAAGATTTCAGGTGCTGTCCAGAACGGCGTGCCTACACCTGCAGTCATTGAGAGATCGACAAGACCACGACTTACGCCAAAGTCGATGATCTTTGGCTCGATTGAATCTGTGAGTAAAACGTTGCTGGACTTGATATCTCTGTGAATCAGAGCCGGCGTACGGGCGTGCAGATACTGCAAGGCACGAGCGATTCCAATGGCAATGTAGATTTTATCTCTAGTCCACCATAAATTCTCTCGGTTCTTCAAGAAACTCCTTTAGACTTCCCGTTGATAAATACTCCAACACCATCACCAAATTGTCAAGACTATTCCAGGCCACACCGATAAACTGGACGATATTCGGATGAATGAGGCTGGCAGTGAGTTCGATCTCCAAGGCAAATTTCTGAACACTTTCCGCTTTCTGTTTCTTCCTCTGCAGTAGACGCTTCACCGCCGCTTTCTGTCGATTGAACTCACAAACCCACACTTCCCCCGACGCCCCCTTAGAAATAACCCTCTCAAACACGATCGAGTCGAAGGGTATGCGTTTGCCCTCGAGGTGTTCACTATCCAGTAGAGTTTTGTTCGACCCCGCTCTCTCGCAGTAAAGACTCTGGATTGCTGAATCTCGACGTTGCTGTGGACTGGAGATAGAAATGGCTCGTCTCTCCTGGGAGCTCCCACTTGAACGTTGCGAGCGTCTTTCGTGTTCGATTCCTGATTTTTGCTTCATTGAGGCCTCTAACTTTCGTCTACAGCTGAGCCACCCCAGAGCCATCCCAGCTACAGCAATGGCTACACCCAAGATGACTGGGATCAACAGCTGCGACGGAGAGTCCTCCTGAGCAAACTCCTGTTTCAACCACGTCGTCACGAACGCCGATCCAGCTGGAACGGTCGTATTTGCAGCCATGTAGTCGTCCGTGAACTCGATTCTTCGGTGGCAAGGTACTGTCAGTGACGCGTATCCTTCGTCCAGTGGACACTCGTTCCAAGCCGGATCAAGGTCATGTGGCACTGTGTGGACGACGTACACATGGAACGTAATAAGGCCTCCGAATTCGGGAATATCCTGCTCCCATTTGTGATCTCTCAGTCGAATGGACGGGGTCATTGTGGGGTCCCCTCCCGTGAACCACATCATCCCTAGATAAGTATCTGCCCCCGGGATCTACAAAGTTGTCGGCCACACATCGAGACACGTTGAGCATTTGCCACCCAGTACAGTACTGTGCGTAGTGCGCCGTCACGCCATTTGGTTGAGAGCAGTTGAGGTACGTGCAGTCCACGTACGAGACGTCGGCTTTCGGTACTGCCAGGTCTGCCATCGTGTAGTTCCCCATGGTCCAGATCTGAATCGGATCATAATCAGGGAAATTGACAAAGCCTGAATCCCCAGAGCACAGCGAGTTGAACGAGACCAGGGAGGTCGTCGAAGTCGATATTGAGCGCATCCAGTCGGTCGGAAACAGCAGCAGGGACAGAAGTGAGATTGACTTGTTTACCAATTTCACCAGCTCGGTGGCGGAGGAAAAGCTGCTGTGCAATGTCCGAGTTGGTGCCGTCGAAAACATATGACGAGCCGGAGGATGACGAAGAAGAAACGGACGTCAAACTCCGCAGAGTTATCGTGTCGTGATCGGTCATACCAAGTTGGTATCACCGACCAGTTGAGTGGTCTGAGTCAAATCTTGGACTAAGGGACGGCGACTGATGACGCTTGGGGTCTCGGGATATCAGCGATCTAATAACCCATCTCGTCTGTCAGATGACGACTGATGCAGCATTATTGGAGCATATTGCTGAAGGGCTGCTAAATATACACCATGTATTTACAATAAATCTGCATGTTGGTCACTATGTCAACCTTCAAGCCACTGGATTAACTCTTGCGCTGTTGGTCGGTCGGAAGGGTCGAACGAGAGGCACGCTGCAGCAATTCGCTGAATTCTGGGCGGGCAATCTACCGAGAAACTTGGTCGCAACGTGCCAGCCATGACTTCTTGTAGGATTTGGAAGGGCATTAACTTTGCTCCATCGTGGTCCACTGTGTCAAAGTACGGGATCCGTCCCGTGTCGAGCTCCGACAAGACCACCCCGAACGAGTAGATATCTGCCTTCTCAGAGTATCGAGCTCCCTCCAGAACCTCTGGCGCCGTCCAGTACGGAGTACCCACACCCGCTGTCATCGTGAGATCCATCACGCCGCGACTTACTCCAAAGTCGATGAGTTTCGGGTCGAGATCTTCCGTTAAAAGGATATTGTTCGACTTGAGATCCCGATGGATAATTGCGGGGCTTCGAGAGTGCAGATACTCCAGCGCTTCGGCCACGGCGACAGCCATGTAGATTCGATCTCCCGCCCACGACAAGACATCGGAGTTTTTGTGCAAAAAGCCCTGGAGATCTCCTTCCGACACAAATTCCAGCACCATTGACAAGTTGCTGAGACTATTCCAAGCCACGCCAATGAACTTGACAATGTGAGGATGAATCAGACTGGCCGTCAACTCAATCTCTTCTGCGAACGCTTGCACGTCGTCTGCCTTCTGGTCTTTAGGGTGCAGTAGCTTCTTGACTGCAACCGGTTGGCCTCCCGTATTGGCAAATCCAAGCTTCTCCTGAAGCTGCTTTGGATAATTCCATCTGGAACGAGAGACTTTCGTACGGGATTCGATTTCCAAGAAGGTGCTGACTATGCAGCAAGATCTTGAACGTTTGGTTGGAGCCTGCACTCTCGTAGTCGCCTTGGTGACTAGAAATGGACGGCCCGTAGCTTGTCGTCGCCACCGTCCCTCGACGAGCTTGCTCGTGTGCTACTACACCCAAGTAGTTTGGAGAAACCACGTCAAAATCGCAACAAGAAGAAGACTGCTCTCTCTTCAGCATCGCATGCCGTTTCCAGCAGAACCAGCCCATCCCCATTGCAGCAGCCACCACGAGAAGAATAGGAATCAACAAGAGCTCATCGAATCCTGATGAGTCCCCGACAGCGAATTCGTCTTTCAGCCACATCGTCACCCACTCGCTTCCTCTGGGCTTGTTCACTGCAGCCATTTCAGCATCACTGAACTCGCTTCTCTTGTGGCACGGAACAATCAACGAAGAGTAGCCATTGTTAACCGGACATTGGTTCCACGTCGGATCGTCGGCGCTAGAAACCGTATGAACAGCGTAGACACTGTAGGAAACCCCCGTCGTGGGCTCCGTCCACGTATGATCTCTCAGTCGGATGTGGGGAGTCATAGTCGCGTCTCCACCTGTAGACCACATTATTCCTAAGAAATCTTTCGCTCCAGAGTCCTCGAACGTGTCGACTATGCATCGAGAAACGTTGAGGATCTGAGTTCCAGAACAATATTGACTTGAGTAAGCTGGCGTATCGTTTGGTTGAGGGCATTCTAACATCGTGCAGTTCACGTTAGTGATATCGTCTGGAGATACGGCGATGTCTGCCATGGTAAAGTCTCCTGTGGTCCAGATTTGCACGGGGTCACCATTAGGAGAGATGCCGAAGCCTGTATCCCATAGAACCGCAAGCTGAACCAGTCCCGGCAAATGAGTGAACGCTATCTTTAACGAGTCGAGTCTGTCGGTCACTGCAGTCGGAACGGACTTGATGGAGACTGCGGCGCTGGTATCGCCAGATCGATGACGGGTGTAAAGCTGTCGCGCAATGTCTGAGTTGGTACCATCGAAGTCGAACGAGAAGTCTGAAGGTAACGATGACGATTCAGGGTCCTGCTCTTCCAGGCTTCGAAAGGTGATCGTGTAGTCTTGGGCCGTGGTCAAAGTGGCTGCAAGAATTGAAAGGAGACCAGACACGCGCATGACTGCGAGTCAGTCTGGGATTCTAAGAATGCGCACCATGCGGGCAGGAGAATCGAGTCGTGATGGCGACTCTAGGGGAGTTTGCACAGATGGATCTCCATCATCTGGAGCAGTTATGTGGCACCGACGAGAGTAGCAACTGGATGAATCGATCGGGCTTTACCGCATCAGCCGAATATGTTGAGGATTTAGAGAGACTCACAAGAAAGCTAGCTCTAATGAGTTCCCGGCCGTTGAGTTTTATTTTATCGTTATTTACATGTAGTTTAATTAATACCGATGTACTTTCACTCAGCACATTTCGCTGTCGGTCAGTGTCATCATGATCAGGACTGTACAGTATGGACTGAAGACACTGTGAGCCATAGTGTCTTCGCGCGATGACATATCATGTATCATAGCAGCCATCAAAGCGTGTAAATTCTGTGACGAACATCCGTCCGCAGCACTTGAGTTAGCTCGGCTGCAGTCGGCCGCAGCTTCGGATCATGCTGCAAACATTGCGTTCCAACCGACTCGGACATTTGTCGGAGAAAGTTGGACTCAATCTTCCATCCAGAACCCAGTGCAGGATCTGAACTGGTTTGGGTTTCTTTCCCTCTGCCGTAACGACGTCAGAGAACGGCATCTTGCACGTGTCCAGCTCGGATAAAACCACTCCGAACGAGTAAATATCCGCTTGCTCAGTGTACCGTTTGCCTTCAAGAATCTCCGGTGCGATCCAGTAGGGCGTACCGACCCCAGCCGTCATGAAGCCATCTTTTCGAGATCGACTCACGCCAAAG